TACTTAATCGATTAAAACCGCTACTACTCAATTTAATCCACTTTACGGGGTCAAGATTTGAGAATTTTTATAAGTAGTTTTTTAAACTCAAGTCGAGCACAATTATCTAAGAAATTTTTTACATATATAAAGATTTGAAATCAAAAACATTTGTTTAAACGATTTAAGTTTTTCTACTCAAGTCAATCCTTTTGAGTCAAGATTTGAGATTTTTATTAGTAGTTTTTAAACTCAAAATTAAAAGAAATAAAGTGAAATTTAAAAATGAAAAAGGCTATCTACATTGTGTAATTCAATATTCATCCATCTAAAAAAACAAAAAAAACTATAAGTTTGCAAGGCAAGTTTTTTCTATTAGTAATCATGCATGTTTCCCTACTCCAATCATTCGAGTGCTTTTCTTTGTAACCAAACTTGGTTTTTTGAATGAACCCGATGAAATTTCAGCCAATAATTTAAATACGAAACTTTAAATTCAAACTTTCAAAATATCCATTTCGAAGTTCATTATACCCTGCAGTTTCATGAATGAACAATAATATTAAAGTTAGATTTCTCTATATCAAAGAATTTTAGTAATTTTTTTAATCAAACTTATTTCTCTGAACAAACCCAATCAAATTTCAGCCATAAATATGAAACTTTAAATTCAAACTTCCAGAATATCCTTTTCAAATTCACTATACCATATTTCCTAAATGGACAATAATTTCCATGAAATTGATGGCAACAGTCTGCTGCTGCATCGAGTTGTTTTTGTTGGTCCATCAAATTTGGCATTGAAGATGCGCTTATAATTGTTGGTATAGAATAGTATCATAGCTAATCAACCAAACGACGAGCGAATTAATTAGTCTTTAAATAAATTTTTTATTAATGTATTAAGTTTGAATCTAAGAATCACATTTATTAAAAATAAATAAAATTTATCACTTGCACTCCAAAAATCTAAAATCATATTTTTTGAAAGAGATTAAATTTTATCACAGGCACTCCAAACATAATTAGTTTTATTTTTAACATATGATGTGAATACAAAACTTAAAAAAAATAAAATAAAATTGGTACCATAACTATAGTAATGCTATTCATCCCAGTTTTCATTATGCATCCCAAATTAGTCGCCCACTATCTCAAATATTAAATAGTGAAGTGTATTTATCTGCTAGCCAACAACAAAAGAATCCAACCACCGAATTGAATTTTAGAATAATTACTAGAAAAATCCTTTTAAAAAAAATTTCTATCCAAATAATTCACTAATTTGTTTTTAAATCTATCAAACTCAAAATAATATTTTTCTTACTAAAACATCCAATAGTTAAAGATTAACTATTGAGTGTTTTGGTTAGATAATAATTATTCTTTTCTTTAGGTTTGAGAGATTTAAAAAATAAATTGATGGACTTTTTAGATAGAAGATTTTTTTAGAGTTTTTTTTTTTTTCCTCTAATAGTAAACTCATTTCATAGTTTTTAATGAGTTTGATTTTGATTTTTGTTTATCATGATCAAATTCGTTTTTTTTTAATTGCAATAAAAAAAAAATGTTTTTTTGAGGTTTTTTTGGCTTCTACACACTAGCCTTGGACTACTATTTTTTATTATTATTATGCTAAAAAATTTCTTATGTGGGAATTTTTATTTCTTTCTATCAACTACATGTTAAATTTTACTAGCTAGTAATTATAGCAATTGATGCAATTTAACTAATTAATATTGATGAAATGGGACTCCTATTATCCTCTTGTAGTTTAATTCAAATGTTATCATAAAAATAAGAAAAATAAGAATATGTATGATTATAAATATTAATCATATCCTAAATCCTAATACATTGATAAAAAAAAAATCACTAATACTAGTTTTTAATTAATTAAAACTCAATATTTTTTATCAAGCAATTAAATTAAATTACACAATGAATGTATAACATGTTCTAGTGCATTAATTAAATACAACATGGTCATCCATAATAGAAATTCATATCCCGAAAGATATTGGTTTCATTTAAAAAATCTATCATTTTATTTTTAAATCTCTCAAATACAAAATAATATTTTTCTTACCGAAATGCGTACTTTTTAAAGTCTCACATACCAAAAACAATTTTTTTTTAACCAAAATAACCAATAGTTAACACTAGTACTTTTGATTATTGGGTGTTTTGGTAAGAAAAATATTCTTTTAGGTTTATAAGATTTAAAAATAAATCGATGAATTTTTTTAGATAGAAGATTTTTAAAAGGTTTTTCTAGCAATTATCCCTTGAATTTTTTATTTTCTTTTCATTTGTTATTTTTTATAAAGGAGATGTTCGAAAGGTGAACTTGAACTTTTAAGTAAAACCGTTAATAGATCGAATTCGAATCAAATCATTATAGATTCAAATTCAAATTATTTAATAAATGGATTGGTTCGATCCATTCTTCTGAATTTGATTTGAGTTTTTCAAATGTTAAGTAATATAAATTAGGAGGTCCATTAGATTTACCATTAGATATTTTTAGAAAAACAAACAATTATGCACCATATTCAATATTTTATTAATTAAATGTCAACCATTATATGGATAAAAATATATCATCGTAATATTTCATATATTGATTTCTGAAAAAACAAATAAAAAAATCATTAAAAAATACAAAATCAAATAATTCTCCTAAAAATTGCATCAAACTTTATAAATTAGATATTAGAAATAAATGAAAATGAAACCTTTAGGCAAGTACAACACTGACAACATATTTGAATTTTTTTCATTTATTTATAGGATTTTTTCACAAAATTTGATGGAGACTTGAGAAAGATGAAAAACAACTTACCTAGTGATTTTTAAAAAAAGTATCGTATGTTATAGACCATATAGAGTAAATAATCTCTAAACCTAAGCTTAAACTTATTCCAAAATCTATATTTTCCTTATTTTTCATATTTTAAAAATAATATATTTACTAAAACCTTTATTAATTAATATTAATTTTTGATCATTTTATTAGTAGATTAGATCAAGACAAATAATTCGATTAATAATTAAAAAGAGTAACAAATTTGAATCATGATTGGATATAGATCATAAACATCGCATATCAGATCCATCCAGTTATATCGAATGTGTTAAATTAAAATTTGATTCTTTGACAATCCTACTTGTGACATCAGAGAACATTGCTGCTATACTTGGGCTATAACTAGTCCAATCACCAAATAATTGATATCATTATATTTGGAAAACTAATTGAATAGATGGCTTTTCGCAGTTTATAGAAATTTTAAGATTATGATTACTAAGTTCTGAAAAGAAAGCGATATAGCAATTTGTCATAGATGGAGATATATAGTTGAGTAGTTATACCATTCAAAATCCCATAATAATTAATTTAAAATAATTTTCCAAATAAAAATTCTAAAATTACGAATATTATATTTATTGAAAACAATAATAATATTAATTTCTGATCTATGTTAGAACAAGATAAATCTGATTCTTTAACAATCCTACTTTTGAGATCGGAGAACATTACTGCTATAGTTACGCTACAAGTTTATAACTAGTCCAACAACCATATAATTGATATTATTGTATTTAGAAAACTGATTGAATAGATGGTTTTACTCAATTTCTAGAAAGTTTAAGATTATGAAAAAAGTTTATAAAATTAAGGGGTTAAAAATATTTATAAGAAAAAAGTTTAAGATTAAGGGTTTAAAAATATTTTTAAAATGTTTATAATATTTTATAAAAAAAATTTCAAAATTAGAGGTTAAAAATATTTTTAAAATATATTTAAAAAAAAACATAATTAACAACGGAATGCTAAAACAATATCATTTTGGCATTTCAATAACGATTAATCTGGATTGATCATTATACATAACGGAGATTGAAAAATATGGATCACATTTGTTTAATCTCTAATACTTTGAGGTTAAAATTACACGATTTAATACTATGGATCCAAAATTGTTAAAATGTAATAGAATATGAGCAAAATTTACCATTAAACCAATAGAAAAATATATCCATAGAACCACGGATGATTGATTTGGCATGTGCCTATATATTGGATAATATATTTTTTGTTTTGTTACATATTGCACTATATATATAAACAAACTAGATATATATAGTATAGCCATATTAATAATTTCTAAAATGACACTAAATTAGCAATTCATTGGAGGTATATTTTTTTATATGTATTAAAATTTAATTGAGATGATCAAATCATCTCTAAATGACAAGTGAATATGTTATTCATGTTAATATCTCGAATTCATAACCACAGAAAATGGCTCTGAAGTAAGAGTTTTAAACTTTTAACATAAAGTTTAAAATTCAAATCTCATTTTTCAAGTCTCATTGTGGCAACTACAATATTTATGTCTACTTTTCCAATTTCAAGAGTGTAAAAAGCTTGAAACCTCCTGTTTCAACATCAATCCGTACCCACCGAGAGTAGTTGAAGGCTGTGATCAGTTCTTGAATTAAAAAAAAACTATATGTATTTTGAATTCAAATTCTAATTCAAATACGATTGGTCTAACAAAAACTCGAATAAGAAGAAAATATCTTTAAGTAGCAGATAAAAATTTATCAAGGATATCTCAACCATTAAAAACCAAAAATCATTTCATATTTTTCATTTTAGCACCTACCATAGGCTTTCATTAAACCCAAAAATAGAGACATAACAAGCAACCAAAAATTAGACAAGTGAGGAAAGTGATAGATACTTAACGGCAAGCAACAAGAGCCAGGGTACCAAGAAATAACTTATCCACTCTAACTGTAGGACATTCTCAAAACGCAAACCTACCTAAACGCCCAAAACAACCAGTCCAACTGTCCAAGTCAACCCTTCCCTTTCAACTACGTCTATAAATGCTTATCTCTCTTGCCATTGAACCGGCTTCAACCTTTCCCATTTCTCTTTGTCTCCCTCAACCCCTCTTTGTGCAATCTTTGGAGTCTTTGAAACGAGATTAAGTGCTAAAGCTATGAGAAAACCTTGCTGCGATAAACAAGGCAATAACAAAGGAGCTTGGTCCGTGCAAGAAGATCAGAAGCTCATTGATTATATTAAAACTCATGGCGAAGGTTGCTGGCGTTCTCTCCCTAAGGCTGCAGGTATATATTATATCTTTTTGGACAATTAAGTATCGATCAATTCCGCCTACCAATATTCAATCTATCTATATACGCTGAAAAAAAATTGTGTAATTCATCAGGTTTGCACCGGTGTGGTAAAAGTTGCAGGCTAAGATGGATAAACTATCTTAGACCAGACATTAAGCGTGGTAACTTTGGTCAAGATGAAGAGGAACTCATTATTAAGCTACATGCTCTCCTTGGCAATAGGTATGATCTCACTATAGATAAAGAAATAACATAGGCACAGAGGGCATTATTCACTTATGGTCTCAAAAAACACATATAGAGCATATTAATGTTTTGGGGTTGGACGATGTAAGATTCCTTTTATGGCTAGTTGCAGACAATTTTATGCATGTACGTATAATGAGCATGATATGCTAAAGAATAATGTTATTTTTTGTGGAACTGTAGGTGGTCATTGATAGCCGGAAGGTTGCCAGGAAGAACTGACAATGAGGTGAAGAACTATTGGAACTCTCATTTAAAGAAAAAGCTAATAAAAATGGGAATAGACCCAAATAATCATCGGTTAAACCAAATTCCTACTCGTCCTCAAGCTGAGCCTGCGGCTCCTGTTATTGCTACTTCAACTACTAAGGGGTCTAAGAATAATATTACTAGAAGCAAACCCAAGAAACTATCAAATGGTGATAATCATAGGGTTTCTGACACAGCAAACTGTCTTGAAGATGATTATAAATCTTTGGTGATACAGCAAGTTGCTGCCTCTGGTTCTTCCAGCATTAATCTTGATCTCTCCATTGCTGTTCCAGCTTCTCCTGGTCATAGTAACCCTTTTGGAAACAAGCAACAAAATTTCAAGTGGGGCAAAACTAGCCAAGTTGAGAATGATCCATCATCAATGCCTACTCTACTTCTTTTTAGATGAGGCAATTCCTTGCCGGGAATACTTGTCATGCAGTGAATTTATTACTAGCTAGCTGGCTAGACGGGTAATTATTTTGTCGATAATTATTACTATCTTTTTAATTTGTAACAATTTTAACTGGAAATTAATTTAATGCAACCTACTTTTGTTGCATTTAAGTAGAGAAGAATGGCTAATTAGCTCCTAGACAAACTAACAAGGGTTAATTCAGCTTCTTCATGTGTATACACATGGCTAGGGTTGTAGTCTAATTAACGTGTACCCTTAGGGTAAATGTTAAGAAGTTGCTTATTTCATTTCCGGCCAATAGATCTTTGATCTAACTAATGGTAATTTATGGATAGGTAATGGTGTAACACAATTTTCAATTTTCAAATTTTAATTTTTATAATGTTTGTGCCCTAGCTAAGGGAACTCGTTTTATATTTTTCCTAGACAGCTAATATTACCAAGCTTCTATTTAGAACAACATTGAAGTTTGGGAGTTTTTATTGTACTTTACACTAGTCAGTTTTTTTTTTTTATTCCATAAAAAAGATATTTTTAAACTAATTTATATATTAATCAAAATTAAATCTTTGTCCAAATAATGCTAAAAATGCATTTTTATATCAAATTGGTTCATCTAGAAAAATTTAATAAATTTTCTCTCAAATGTTGGTACATAATTTGAACCCAAAAAAACTAAGAAAGACAACAAATCTCTCTAATTATTATAAATACTACTTTTATGTATAACTTACTAGTTATGATTCTCACTATGTCTATCAATAGTCATGCGTAGGTATCTAAAATTTAAAAGTTGTTTAGAAATTGATTGAAAAATTGTACGCAATGGGATATGGACTGACCAATTTGGGAAGGGGATATTTGTAATTAACTCAGCATAAGGCAAAAAAATTTCTCCACTTAGCATTGGAAACTGCATTTTCCATCCCGAAAAATGATTCTTACAATCAAAATGGAGCCCTAGAAACTGTTCCTTCAAGGCACAAATAAAGTTATTACTCAACTCTCTAACGATGCATCTAATACATGGAAAAAGGAAGATATATATATATGGACGGTACAATTATCAAAAAGTACAATACTGAAAAATACTAAAATGGCTACAAAGAAGAGAAAAGGTCTTTCTTTTTTTCTTTTTGGATAATGTTCATGGTTGAAAAGACAATGATAAATTTCTAACCTAATTGATAGATAGAGTCACTTTAACAATACTCGATCGAACTGAAATGTCCTTTTTCACTCATAAAGATCTCATGTCAATTTCGTTTCTTGATTTGTAAGATGCATTATTGCTTGCTATAAACGAATTAGTGAAGCTTTTAGAGAAGGTGCTTTGTCGCTGTCCTCCCATCTTCCCATAAGGAGAAGGAGGCTGATAATCTCCCGTCCTTGTCCTCTGTCAAACCATGACCAGTTTCGTGATATGCTTTCTCACGTAACCAAAAACGGAAAACAAGAACGTCACTTTTAAGATGTCTATTACTAATTTTTTTCAAAAAACTATAATTTTGGTATCCAATTTTTTTTTAGTACTTAATCAGTATTTTTTTTTTATTTCAATTTCCTAGTTTTGATTTTTTTTTTCTATTTGAGTGCCTACAGATCACGTTAGAGTGTAAAATATTTACGTATTCGGAATTAACTATCATGTAACAATTTAAAAATATCACGTGACAATTCTTTCTAAACATGTCAGCATATCAAATCTTAAGTATTAAAATATAAGAATTTACAGATTGAATACTGAAAAAGAAAAAAAAGAAAAAATTGAGTATCAAAATTATAGTTTTCTCCTTAAATAATGACACTTGAAAGTTGATACATCAAGCCATGGTTGTAGAATTTGTTTTTCTCCAACACTACAAGAAAATCGAAAAATAGCGATGGATTTTTTCATCGTTATATCGTCAATATTCGTCACTATTTAACCTTAGTAACGGATTTGCGACAATATACTTTCAGTAGCAAATGTGGTCATCACTATTTTTTTATCGACATAAATTCGTTTTTGTTGCTAATACGGAGAATTTCTATCACTAAAACAAAGTAAACAATTGTCTTTTCGATCTCTTATCCGTCACAAAACAATCACTAATTTTGTCGCTAAATTGTATCGGCTAAAATTTCTCATAAATTCTTCATATTTAATGATGTTATATGTATCCGCCGCAAAGAGGTTTAGCTTTTATCGCCAATTCGATTGCTAATTCATCGCTAAATGAAAAATTATACATATAGCCGTTTAATGTTAATTGTAGTAGCAAATAATTAAAAACAACACCTTATTAAAATATGATATATTGTTGAATTTAATTTAAATAATATAAATTGAAATCAAATAAATATATAAAAGTGTTAATATGTACACAATCATTAAAAACCTTAAAAAATAAGAAATCTAGTCCCTATCATCTCCTAAATCATCTTTTGGCTACTAGGTATTGAGAGAAACGGTTGACTCTTAGATTATAGAGGGTCGGCAAAAGGAACATGAGTCCGTTGTAAATCCCATAACAACTCCATCACCATCCGCATCTAATTTTGTAAAGTGTTGAATTGATTGATATATTCCTGGATCGTAATCTTTATCCCTTTGATCCTATTTTTATACCGGAAAGAAATCTCATGAATATTATCACTAGGATACCACAAAGTGACGGATGAGGATCCGGTAACAGAATGAGAGTAAAATTAGGATGCTTGTATCCAAGGTCATACATTGTCCGCTTTTTCTCTCCTTTAACAACATCTAAATATATTTTGGTCATGTCGATGTTTGGAGATGATGAATCAACCTTATACTCGCTCCTTAACAACTATTTCTTGCATTTATCGCACGAGCTCATATGTCATTAAAATAATTATAATATTAAATCATAAATATATTTTTTGATTACATTGATAGATGTAATATTAAATTATATATATATATATATTGAGGGATGTATATGTACCATTATTGTCTAGGACCACATATTGATGAATGATCCATTTTTCTACTTATAAGTGGTCACAAATAACTCATAAGGATTTGAGTTATGACCCAATTTATTATACTAAAAAATAGACAAAATAATATAAGATGTAATAAATGTAAAAAATAATGTATAACACTATAGATGGAGCCCCATAAGAGAACACGCGAAGCGGGAGCCATTGCCTAAATAATCAAATCCTAAATATACTAGTCCGTAAAGATATCTAGAAATGGACCAGATTACATATGGAAAAGATATAACATCATTGTCATCCCATCCTACATGAGGTATTTATATGTGACAATAAAAATCTAGTTTTACTATACTATGTTTCTATGAAAATTTGAGTAGCTTTATTTTATTAGGATAGAATAGTAGGGTAATTTGAGGTTTAGCTCGTCCAAGTCCAATACCCATACTCGGAGGAAAAAGATGAAAGAGGTTAGAATTTTGGTTGATTTTTAGCGAACACGACCTATATCGGTAAATAGGTGAGTTTCGAAAGCTTTTATTGATATGAATAACAAGTCATTGACAACTTCACTCACATAGATGGGAAGACATCGATGACTTTAAGTCATGAATTTTAGAAGTTACCAATAACTTTACCACATAAGTGAAAAGTCATCGACAACTTTATTTTGCTTGAGCAAAGAGTAGATAATTGGTTTGGAAGCTATTGGTGACTCCCTCACATAAGTGAGAAGTCATCAATTATTTCATTTTAGACAAATTGAAAGCAAATAAAATAATCTTAAAATCGCCGATGACTTCATCACATAAGTGAAAAGCCACCAACAACTTTATTTTAGCAATTAAAAATTAAATAAAACTTGTTCGAGAAGCCATTAGTAGCTTTATCCACATAAATGAGAAGCCATCAATACCTTCTTTGTGATAAATAGATAGACATACAAATTGATTAGAAGTCAAATGTAGTTTTGACCATATAAATTGGAAGCCATTGATAGCTTCATTTTGACAAATAAACAAAGCATTCGATAGTACAATCATTCACAACACAACATTTTCACCATTCATTTATCTTTTTAAACAATCCAAATAAGTTGAAAGGTTATCCAAGTGTCATGAGAATGTTAGAAATCCTTCGATTAGTTTTGTTTCTTTCAATCTCGATGAAGATTGGTTATTTCATCCAATTGAGAAAAAGGAAGCAATTATTTATGAATAAAAAAAATTGTATGGGGACTAAAATGCCATTGGTCTATTGTATGGTGATCTGAAATGCCACTGGTCAATTATAAAATGACCAAAATACCCTTACATTTTAAAATTACTAAAATACCTTTGCATTGTAAAATTACCAAACCTTGAAAGACAAAATGTCACTACCGACTATCCGATCACTAGTCGATGGTCCTTCGAGTGTATGAACCAACTCGTATAATGAAAGATCGTCGCCGACTTGTCCGTAATGGTGGCAATCGCCGTCGACGATGGAGGAGGGAGATTAGCGACTTCAAAGTTATGGCCAATTCCCTTCTCTTCTTGAAAAAGGTTTTGGTGATATTTAGAGGCTTTAAAGGTAGCAATCGATTTAGGAGGTTATGAAGAGTCATTTTGTGGTGATTAGAAAGTTCTATTTAGCTTTGATCCGTCGATTTTATCGAGTTTCACCAATATTATTTGTCAATTAAGCCATTTTTTTTATGATATCGAGCCACAAATTCAAAAGAAAAACACTTATAAGATGGTGATGATAAGTTTTATGGTGGTAGCAAATGGTGAGTCGATGAGAAAATGGTGATTTGATTGATTATATAACTAGGTCGGGCGACCACAGCTTTACTATCGATTTCTCCCTCCTTCAACGTCCTTTTATCCTCCGACTAGCATAGATAGGTCGATTTGAAGCTAGGCTATCCGTGGGTGGTAGTGATTGAAGGCAACATGGACTAAAAAATGGTCGATTTAAGAGAAGTTTGACGAGTCTTTTGGGTAGTTATTCGAGTCCGATGGGTTTTTTAAAGGTTATTTGGCTTGTTTTCTCTT